GGTTCTCCCGCCTCCAGGCCCGCGAAGGGAAGGCTGCTCTGCCAGGCACCTGTCCAGGTAAGGGGCCGGTGCAGCACCTGTGAGCCCGTCGGTGAGAAAAACGGCGCCAGGATCCCCAGATCCCACCAGAATGTGGACAAGTGGCGGTACTGGGTCGGACTGGGGTCCCTCCAGCTCTGCCCGCTGTCTCTGACAACAGGAGAGAGCAGCCGAGGGGAGCTGTGTCCCCGGGCGCTTTCCCCGGCTCCACAAGCTCCTGAACCAGGCTCGGGGTGTCTCGTTACCCTGCAGCTCTCTCTCTATTTTCTTGTCTTCTGAAGTCGTGTATGTTTTTTTTAGCATCCATGACAGCCTGCAGCAAGGAGTTCCACAGCTCATTTAGCTGTTCTGTGAGTCGCTGCCTGCTTTGGTTTGCTTTGAAGTTGCCTTCTAGAAGTTCACTTGATGTCAGTGGTTCTTTATTTAGAACAGATCCCTACCAACCACCACACCACTGTGGTTTTATAGTCCTCTGATATCCTCTATCAGCTGAACTTTTTCCCAGCAGAATGGGCAGTTGAGTCATCTCCGATACAGAAGCTGTTCTGTGCCTTTGGTCATTCACATCGTGCCTCTGTATCTTCCTCAGCCCCATTAAGAATTTCTTTGAAATAGGGGACCCGTGCTCCCCCTTGCACACAGTCGGGATGTGGGGTTTGAGCAGTGAGACAGAACTGCATTCTCTTTTATCCTCTCCTTTTTTCCCCAGCAATCACATTTGACTAGCTGGTTTGTCTGCCTGGGAGCTGCAGGTTTCATGTCTGTTCTGACTCCAAGGTGCTGTTCCTGAAGGACAGCACCAACATCCTCGGCCCGTCCTGGTCTAAGTGCAGGCTGTTCCCTCTGCAGTTTACCTGCAGTGAATGTCCCCTGTCATCCCCCTGTCACCTGGTTGGTCAGTATCCTAAGGCTCTGCCACAGTTTATAGTCAGCCTTTGTGTCTTGGACCCTGAATAACACAGAATCATCAGCAGATGTTTTCACCTCCTCCCCTTTCCTTCCCTTACCACCTTGGTGAGGACTGAGGGTCATTCATCCCACAGCAGCTTAGTTTCTTTATCAGTTTTGGTGAAGGACAAAAGTCTTTTGGGAATGCCTTTGGACTCTGTATCTCTCTTTTGCTAAAACTGCTGACATCTCTGAAGAACTCCAAGTGGTTTGTGAAGTGAGACATCTCTTCCCAAAGGCCATGCCGGCCCCTCCCCAATCTGCCCTCTTTGGCCATCTCTCCATTAATTCTCTTACTCTGATTACTGTTCATTTGTTTGGTCCGTTGGGCCCCAGATTTCCCCTCGAGCCCTTTCTCTGGCATCACATCAGCCACTTCCCAGGCCCTGAACACTGAGGTAGCACAGTCAGGAGTCCAGCAGTGTTGTGATGCCATGGGAACAGCCATGCTGGGTTAGACCAAAGGTCTGTGTAGCTCCGAGCCCTGTCTTAGGGGTTTGGGGACTGGCCAGAACTGGGTGCCAGGGAAGGGGAGAAGATAAGCATACAGTGACACCTCCCCAGCACAGTCTGCTGTCGTCCAGCAGCCTGAGGCTTACTCATGATGGTGGTGGGATATTTTTAACAGTTCTCACAAGATTCTTTTTTGTGAACTCTTGAATTCAGTGCTGGAGACAATTGCTGTGTCCTCCTGCTGCTGTGAGACAGGCCAGAGCATCAGCCAAAACTCCTTCTGCTGCTGGCTTCTCTTGAGAAAGAGAGATCCAGGGGTACATTTAAGGTGATTTTGAGGTTCTCTCCCAATATGCACACTTAAATCTGCCTACCTGGAGCTTGCCTTGTAGCTGCAGTACTGGCAGTCCAGGGCACATCAGAGGTCTTAACTATCAACCCAAATTGGCACAGAACCTTATTCCTCCTCTCTTGCTTATTAATTTTTGCCAGATCAGTGTTATGCTTCCAGTATTAATCCTCAGCATTGTGAACTTACTCTCCTTCCACTTAAAATACCTCCAGTGAGTTCCTCTCAGCATGATTTTGATGGAACCCTTTACAGACAACTTGTCAGTGAAGATACCTAGTAGCTCAGACGTAACAAAAATGGTTGTAGAAACATGACAGTCATGGCTGTAATCATTGTAATCCGAAGGTTGAAACTCCTGACCTTCCCAAAAAAGTACAGAACACTGTAGAAGACTTGATTCTCATGTGCTTTGAAGGCCTTTTCAAGTTCTGGGTAAAGAACTAAATTCTGTGTAAGTACCAAAGCGAGCGTAGGTGAAGGATATCACTTTGGGCACAACAGCAAGAAAACAACTTCACTAGCTCCATTGTCTACTCAGTAAGTCTGACATACAGGTCGAGAGCTTCTTGGTGACCTGCAGAAATGTCCTCTTCTTATCCTGTCTTTGGATATCACCTTTCTCTTTTCCTCCAGGCCTGGATGGAGGAGCTGCAGACAAATGGAAATGCCTTCATGATGAATAGCAAAGTTCCAGTTTCTCTTCCTCTCAAGGGATGACTTTATTGAGAACTATGTGAGGGAAGACGTGGCATCGCTACCACACCAAACTGCCATGAGAGGTATCTCAGGAGTTCGCTTTGGAATCAGATTGGGATGTTTGAAAGAGACTAGACTTTAAAACTAGACTAGACTTTCACTGACTAGAAAGAGGAAGGTTAAATACGTACGTATATCAGTCGGGGTTGAAATTCTAGACTCTCCTTCCTTTGTTGCATACTTGGGGTTCAGTAGTGACTCTCTTCTCCCAAGGCTTGCACTTCCTTATCGCGACTCTGCCAGACCACAGGAAGCGCCTGTGGTTTGTACATCGGGCCCACACTACTGATATGTTATGTGTTTGTTTCACAAGAGCTTCAGGAAAACCATTGAATCTTCCAGCAGGCAAATCTGGAGGTCTGCGTGATTGCAGCTTTACTCCTCAGCCTGTTCCATATTTTGGGTCCACGTATAGTCATCAGCAAGTCATCCTTCACCCCTGGAAGTCCATATAAAGGGCTCAGCTGGAAATCCATTCATTAAGCGGCCTGCCTTAAACCTGGATCTCTCCAGAGATGCACATTGCCATTCCTTCATCCCACCTACATCTCTCTGATGTCCATTTACCCTTCTCTGACAGAAGGGTGTGTCCCACGCAGGTCCTGCCTTGGCAATTTAGCGTGTAAGCCCTCAGTAAGCTCACAAAGAGCTGCATTTCCCCACTGACAGCAGAGGCTGCAGCATTGTTGGGGTGTGTGTGCTTTTGAACCTGCTGGGATGCTCATCAAACCACGTCAGAGCCGTGGGTTGGAGGAGTCACTGCTCTGTGTAAATATCCTAGAAATCTGTGCAAGCCCCCTGGCTTGGAAAGGCTTCCAGCTGACCTCGAGTCTGCACAGCACAGATTCATACTGGGTGTGCTTCTGCAAGACTTGATGTGAAGGAGAGGGCAAGGATTTGTTCATTGCTTGTGTCCCAGCAGCTGTTCATAACTGGTGTGACTCCCACTACCTTCATCTTCTGCCTGTATCAGCTCTCCTCAGTGCATCATCTGGAATCAGCCATGGAGGGTCTTCAGTTCACCAACCACCTTTCACAGTGGATTTGTTCTGTGCCAGTGGAAGCACAAAGTTCCCTTTCTTCTGCTCTAAGACTGGCAAAAGCCAGGCTCCAGGTGCTCTCCATGTCTCGTGCCTTAGGGCCACTGTCTCCTTTGTGCATCTTCTCTCTGCAACAGCAGCGCAAGAACAGGGAGTTGCATCTGTTGCAGCCCAAGTAACGTTCTGCTGAAGAATGCAGTTCCTTCTGGCCCTTCAACTTTTTGTAACATTTCAGCTTTTAATAACATTTTTAGATACGGTATCCGGGGTGAGCAGCCGTCTTTCCCATCCCACTACTAAACTTTTACCTCTGATATGCCAGTAAATTCAGTAGATTCAGGTTCTGGCAAAGCATGCAGGACTATTTCCAGGGTTTGTTCCTGTGAATGCTCTGAAAAATCTACTGTCTAGTTTGGAGGGAAATAATCAGAACTTTTTATACTTGAAGTCAATCTGCTGAATTTTTCAAATTTGACCCCTTTTCATTTGCTCTGTCCAAAGTTTCCTGTCCTGCCTATGAATTCTCTCTGGATTCTCATTTTATTGCAGCTGAAGATGGGATTGTGAGCAAGAAAGAGGCAAATACCCACCAAGGCATCCCTGGGCCAGCGGAGCCCGAGAGTTTACTCTCAGAACTCTCCAAGGAGAAGAGTTCCCAGAGTCCTGCTCAGGACCCAGTCCTCCCACGCAGGTCAGAGACGGTTCAGAGACCTCTGGGGAAGAGGCAAAGCCGAGTGATGCTGCATGGAAAAAGCTTCAGGAGGCTGCCAGATATTATCCAGCAGCGAAATCCTTCTGTGGGGAGACTGACCATATGTGGGGACTGTGGGAAGAGCTTCCGGGTGAGCTCCAACCTTGTCCAGCATCGGAGAATCCACACCGGAGAGAAACCCTTCACCTGCACCGAGTGTGGGGAGAGTTTCCGGCAGCGGTCACATCTCATCCAGCACCAGAGGATCCACACAGGGGAGAGGCCCTACGAGTGCTCCGAGTGCGGAAAGAGCTTCAGCATGAGCTCAAAGCTGATCCGGCACCAGGTGACCCACACTGGAGAGAAGCCCTACAAGTGTGCTGAGTGTGGGAAGAGCTTCTCTGGGAACTCTCAGCTCGTCCAGCACCAGCGGGTCCACACCGGGGAGAAACCCTACGAGTGCAGTGACTGTGGGAAGAGCTTCAGTGTGAGCTCAGCCCTGACACGACACCACCGCGTCCACACCGGGGAGAAACCCTACCAGTGCACCGAGTGTGGGAAGAGCTTCAGCCAGAGCTCTGAGCTCATGAAGCACCAGCGGGTCCACACCGGGGAGAAGCCGTACGAGTGCTCCGAGTGTGGGAAGAGCTTCACTGTGAGCTCAGCCCTGATCCAACACCGGCGGTTCCACATGGGCGAGCGCCCTTACGG